TAACCAAGGTCCGACTAGCCCAAACTAATGCATGACATCTAGTTTAAATGCAAGTGGCAATTAATATTAATACTCAAAACCCATGTGAGACATTTGAAAACTTAACATCCAGAGTTCAACTCACATAATAGCAAATACTTGAAAAATATTGCTTTAGCACTTTTCATAGAGATAGAGTTAATCAAGAAAATTATTGACGAGCATAATAGAAGAAATTAATACTCAACTCAAAGTGCCATCATTATGGACTCAATATAGACAAAAAGTGCCTTTTCTCACTATATGCATGATCACACCTCCCTTGTCACCTCCTTATTTCTTTGACACGAAACCGTGGGCTATAACTCAATGGGAAAGTCTATATTCTTTGACTTCCCTAGCCTAAACACTTGTGAGGGGATTTCCCGGCCAAGGCGTACCCAACTCACTTATGGATCACAGTTTCTCCCATTTCTCACACTATAGGGTGTCATACACCCTAGACTAGCTTCCTCATTGAACCGGTAGATAGCTAGCTAGTTTCAAGTCCCTCATTGAGCCAGTGGAATAGTTCCTCATTGAACAAGTAGGACAGTATGGATAGAATTAATCTAGGCAATCCATCACACGAATGGGGCCTTACCATGTACACTTAACATTTACTCTACTTCCTAGGCAAACTCCCACCTCTCAAGATCATGCAATGCACATTTATGCCATAATTCACACATATACCAATCATAGAACTTCACATTAACCATTTTCATTGGATTTCCAAACACATTTCATGAAACTTCAAAACTAAACAAGTCATTGAACTCCCAAATCACAATTATTGTACCTCACACTTTTAAAATCATTGAACTTCATCATCACACAATCATTAAACTTCTCAAACACATTTCATGGAACTTCAAAACCAAACAAGTCATTGAACTCTCAAATCACAATCATTGTACCTCATACTTTTAAAATCATTGAATTTTCCTATGTTTAAACATCATCGAACTCCTCCTAAAACAAGGATTCACCTTGCTTCTCAATTTGTAAAAATTGTTGCACTCCTAATAAATATTAATATGGTAATCTACCACTATTGTTCTCAAGCAAAATTTTTACATCATAAAGCATAAAACTCATAAATTTGATCTAGTGGATTTCTTCACAATTTAATCCATACTTGCATTCTTTTCTAGTTTATACATTTCAATGATAATTCATAAATCAATAAACTAATAGACACACACAAGCATATGATAGAATTTCCCCCGTTACCTCAAACTTCTGAGAGGTCAAAGGTTTCACCCCTCAACTATTTGCTCCTGAAGCTTCCAAGAAGCTTGAATGGTGCCAAAGGTAATTACACTATGAGCATTTACCATGCAAAATATCAATATCTATTTTGAGCTATTTTTTACTAGCATTTTCATCATTTCTTAATACTCAAGCTTTACTCCAAACTCATGTAGAAGTACCTATAAGGTTTCTTAGCTTCCTTTAACTCTCATTTATAACATTAGGTTCTTAAATGGGCATTAGTGAACCCACATTATTCCCAACCACTAAATTTATGGGAATTTTCGGGCATTTAATATCCTCCAACCATTAATTATCTTAAAATCATAATTATCAAGTTTACTTAGCTCAATCTACCTCCATTAACTCTATTTAAGTCAATGGGTTTGGACCCATAACCTTTATGGACCGAAAATCACCATTAAAAATCAAACCCTAACCTCTACCATCAAGAAAATGGAAGAAGAGAGGAAAATTTAAGCTAGAAAGCTTACATTTGGTGTTTATAAGCTCCAAATTATTCCCAAAAATCAGTTTCCTTAAGCTCTAGCTTAGCTTTTCGTCACTCTCTCATTCTCTTTTATTTTTCTCTTCTGTTTCACATTAGATTCGTGACTTATTACTGCAAAAATTTGACCATGTGCCACGACGGACGCATAATACGCCGCAGTGCATGGCACAGAGAGCTTCTTCTAAGCATGTTGGCATGCATGCACTAAGGCAAACTAACCCTATGCCGCAGCGTGTGGCACATAACCACTCCCTTTAAAAATTCTTCCTCTTTTATCCTTGGGTAACCTGATTCTCCTTCGGACCTATATTTGGTACTAAAATTGAGATCAAACATGCCTATTAGGCCTCTATGGCCACACACCTCAAAGATTGACTTTACTAATATATTTAAGCTTAAATAATCTGGATTTAAAATTGAGGATGTCATATTTTTCATTTTCTCTCAATTCTCTCCCTACAGTTCTACTCTCTCTTCTTCATATCTCTTAACCTAACTATCCAAATTTAATCAAACCACCATCATTCTCTTCCTCTCTTCCTCCTCTACAAAACCTAATAGCTTTCATAAGGATCAAACCTTGTTTGATTTAGGCAAAATTCATGGGAAAAAAAGCCAGAATTTTGGAGCTTCAACTTGAAAATTGCTTAAAGATGCAAGGCTAGATTCTTGAAGGGGCTACTATTATTTTCTAGTTGGATTTAAATTTTTCTATCTACTTTTCTCTCTCTAGAATTACAAATTTGTATGACTCATTGATCTTGTAATTTCAAGTGATGATTCATATGATTGAGAGATGCTTGTTACTACTTGAGTTTTGTTACTTTGAGCTCTAGATTTTGGCCTCGTCAAGTTAAGTCATAATCTTGGTTAGCTTGATAAGTTTAACATATTTTCTTTCTTGTCATAATCTTGTCAACTTGAATGCATGTGAATATCTTCATGAATCATAATCTTGAGCATGTTAATTCTATCATATGTGCTTGACCTAATTAACTCATGTTTGTAACACTTTGGTTAGGCTTAATGCTAGCTTTGCTTTCGCTTACTTTACGACCATAATCTTAGATTGGGGTTGGTCAAGGTATTAGCTAAGTCTTGGTTAATATAACTAAGTCAGTAAAACCAAAGAGAAGAGAGGAGAAACCAAACTAGCTAGGTTGTAATCAAACAAGGATAGGTGACCAATTCCACATAGGAGTTCCTACTTTTAATAGATTTTCACACATCTACTTAATTCACTTTAAAATTAGGTTTAATAGCTTAGTTAGTTTTGAGTTTACATCTATCTCATGTACCTTTTAACTTATAATATACTTCAAACATAAGTTCTAACTCAACCTCCTCATAGAGATCGACTTAGGTTTACACTAGTACTACATTAGTGTAGCTTAATATTATTTTCCTAAGGTAGTGACAACTTTAGTGACATGCATGAACTATAAAAAAATAATCATTTTGTAAACAATAAGATCAATCAATATTAATGTGATAAATCCAAGTGAATATTCGTTCAAAAAAACTAATTCCAATTCTTTTCACAAAATTTAATGTAATGTAAGAGATTTCTATATATAATAGTCAATTACAGAATTAAACCATAACATTAGATACATATATTATATATGAATATGTTTAATGAAAATTTCAAAGAAAGTGAATTTATTAATGAATCATTGGGACAATATTTGCTTACTTGCAGTGTTCCTAAGGTTCAAATTCTCCTCGTACAACCTCAATCAAGTTTCTCTTCTCCAAAAACCCTATATAAAAAAACTAATAGGATTTTAATAAACTTCCTACTAGTTCCATTAATTCCATTTCAACACCAACATAGTCAACTTTAATAATTTAAAGTTCCCCAAACATCATCATTTATATCACCCAAATATAAAATTCCAAGATACAAGAATTTGCATAGCATAGTTTCACCATATTACTTTGGCCATAGTCCATTTCTCAATTTTTGGAATATGATTTCCACTTAGACCTTGTATCAAACACTTCATGTAATTTCCAACCCACTCAATAAAGCTTTTTAACCTTCGAATCTCTTACCCAACAATTCCTAAACAATGACAATTAGATTCAACATGCTTTTCAAATCCAACTCCTATATCCAACACTTTGATTAACTTTTAACTTGTCTTCCCAACTTTTTCTCCATCACCAACAACTTACTTTAATCAAGAGTGTGAATGCTTATACACACCCCACTTAATCACCTTAAAATTTTAAAGTTTTTCTATCACCCATTTTACTAAACACCTTAAGTGTACCTTCTAAACTAAGTCAGAAAATAACACCATAGTTCATAATTACCTACCATACAACTCTCAAGAACTCAATTAATTATACACTAGTTCCATAATCAACAATTTCTTGTAATACTCAAGCCAAAACACAAATAAATATTAGCCAAACCATTTATGCTTCTCACCAGAATTATTAAAATTTCACAAATTACGTAAACAAACAAAACTCTCTCTAACAAACATTTTATCAACACCTTGTAGGCATAAATTTTCAAATTATTACCAAGCTTCTTTCCATTCAATTCCATTTTTCAAAAAATCTCCAATATCAATCTTGGAATGACTATGCTTCTCAAAAAGAACAATTAAATCCACTTTTCCCTAACAACCCTAAAGCATTTATAGCATAAACACCTACTTAAAGGTTGCAAAACTTCGATTTAGCTTGCTCGAATTTCTCCAATTTATCAGGGATGTATTTACATCGGGTATAGAGGGGGCAATTGCCCCCACTAGAAAAATAAAATTTTTACCTAAACTTTAGTTAAAACTACACTTGCCCCCCTTTAAAATTGTAATTGTCCCCATAAAAAAAAATAATTGCCCCACATTCTCTTTAAAATTATCAAGCATACATATTTAAAAATATCATTTATTCTTATATTTATTATAAAAATAAATTTATGTTGCAAATGACATTAATATATATTTTTAAAATTATCATATATTTTATTTATATATTATTTTTATCAATATTTAGAATTATATTTTCTTCAAAAGAAATTAATATCTATATAAATTTTGCCTCCTCTAATAAATTTTTCTAGATCCATCGTCGGCTATCTCCTACCTGCATAATAGCCTCAACTAAGGAGGAAATTAAAATCCCAAATTAGCCAACACTCCAATCAACACTTATGCACAGCTAACAAGAGAAAGAAAGTAGGGTCTTAACTCACCAGTATAGTTGAGGGAACGAAGGGCACAACTTGTAGCTTCCTGACACTAGATCGGCGACTGCAAGACGAAGGGAAGAATGGAATATGGCCACGTGAAAATGAAGAAGGAAGGAGAAGATGAAAGAAGAAAATAAGAATAGAAGAGCTATGTTCACCATAAAAAAAAAAATGCCGTAATAGCAATGGACTTCAATCAAGACGCACCAATGATGAACATTGGCAGTGGACGGAGGAGGGAAAGATGAAGAGTGTTGGATAGCTGTGTGCAATTTTTACCCTTTCCCTTTAATGCTCTGTGTGTGTGTGTGTGTGTGTGTTTCCACAAGGGTATAACGCATAAATTGATTGGAAAAGAGAGGGAAAAATATCTGATAGCAATAAGGGGAACTTGGTAATTTTAAAGGGCTGAAGCAAATTAAAAAATCCCATTATTGTATTAGATGATTTAAACCCAAAACCTAAGAGTTAACAACAATATGAATTATCACTAAGCTATCAATTTTACTTTGATAAGTCTATCTCAAAAATATCTAAAAATATAATTGAAGCAACTGATCCTCAATTTTAATTTAAATTAAATTTCTGGGTTATTACAAAAGTGATATAGAGGCTTCCCCTACCGTTTTGTAAGAGAGAAGAGAACAGGGAAGGTGATTGATCTAATAAATCTGATGGCACCTTTAACTTCCAATGAACCAGATTTTCATCGGTGGTAAACCAAAGCAACGGCAAGATGGTCTTTTACTCTTCAAATTGATCAAATCTATAACCTTGAAATCGGGGATGAAGAAAAACATTCTCAAACTTACTGTCTTTAAATCATTAATAAGAAATTCCATAGCCTATATGGAAAAAAAAAAAACAAAGCAAAATTACATGAACAAAATGAAATTAATTACCTGCTTGACAGCAATAAGCTCCTCAGAATCAAGGTTCATACTCGTACATACTCAACCGAAGGCACCACAACCAATCAACTTTCCCTTAAATTGAATCGAAAGAGTGTTGTCCTTAAGAACCGGCGACAGAACCCTAACGCGTGACTAAGAGAAGAGTCTGATTCATGATTTGTGAACGCTGGAGCTAATCTTGTTAACCAGACTGCCAACACCAAACCCTCCATCATCTTTGCTGGGGCTCCCAAAAACCAAGGAATGGCGAATTGAACCCAAAAGAGATTAAAACAAAGAATCCATGCAACCATCATTAAAAATCCATGCAACAGATTCTTCTCCAGCGAAGGTGCTGATCGTCATGGTATTTTCCTACTTCGATTACTAATTTTGCGACTCTGACCTTTGGTGCGAGGATACATCTGGAATCTTGTTCAAAGTGTTCCTAGAATGCACTTCTGACCTTGATTCCTCAATATCACTAATGTTGCTAGAGAAATTGAAATCAGATTCATTGAAGAGGTGTGTGATTAGAAAACTTCTCCAGATTTCAATCTCACTTGCTCAACGCCTCCACTAGAGAAGAGATTAGAAACAGAAAGATTAGAACAGAGAAGGCCAACACAAGAAATCTACATGTCTAACAGCATGCCACCTGTTAATTTTGTGTGGGCGCCACAATATGAATAAGCATCCATTGTTTTAGAAAATTAGTTCGTGTTGGGTGTTCTGACTTATTTAGTTCACGAATTTTTACACTACTTTATAGTATAGAATATCAGATGATCCTCACAGAATAGTTTGAGGGTGAAATTGATCTTTAATTCCTTTTTTTTTTTAAATTAATTACAAGTGTCGTTACAAATAGTAATGATCTAGTAATCATTTGGTAGCCTATCAAGGTAGTTGGTCAAACTCAAATGGTATTTTGGCCTTTTACATGATAAGAAATAACATTTATCTCTTAATATTTATTTGTAATTTAGGATATTTAATCATAATTTATTTTCTTATACATATTTGTAATTTTTTGAGTCTTTTTTGTGGTAACTTTTATGTCTTTTTCTACAATTTTTTGAGTTAACTATTGGTCAAAATTAAATTTTGTTAATATTAAGGATAACATTTTATCATTTTTAATTGTTGAAGAGAACATTGCATCACAAAAACTTAAGATATCAGATATTCCTGTATGAATAGTTGAAGGCTAAAAATACTCTTTAACATCATTTTAAGGAAATAGTAACTACATAAAGACAAACAAGATTAGGCTTATCATATACACACAAAAAATTAAGAGATAAAAATAAGCAAATTAAACAATAGATAATAGATTTTGAATTAGTTAAGTATTGAACTTCTTTCACCACAGAAAATGTTGTTTAGAGACACCCAATGTGTCTCCAACTAATGAAAGATCCATCCCTAATAGAGATGGACTTTGAGATAAATATTATGGTGTTTCAAAAAGGAGTATCACTAAATAATCAGAGACAAATTTTTTAATCTGTCTCTAAGTAGAGATGGATTTATTCCATCTCTAAATAAAAATGTCATATGTAATCTTCATAAAAAACTTGTTGCTATAAAATACTCTAAAAATTAAATTATATAATTGAGACAGAATATAATAGTCTATAAGTCTATCTTTAAAAGATGCAAACTAAATTGTCAAGCTCCACTGCTACATCATCACTTGATGAGCACCTTCTACCACATCATTACCACGTCATACTAGTTGCATAACCTCTCCGCTCCATTGCCACGTTACCATTTATTGGGCAGTTGTGCCATGTCATCTACCCATTTTATATGTGCCTCCAACAAGCTCGAACTTGTAACCTCATGCTCCTTGATGCCTTAGTGTTCACCCTTTCATCAGTTGAATTGAAATTGTTTGTAGTCAATATATAAGAAATCAAATATGTATTATTTAACATTATGCATGCATACATACATACATACATACATATATATCAATACATTGTTAAAACTACATATAGTTTTATATTATTTTCACTTATAAACATGATAAAATTTAATTAAATATAGTATATCATTTTTGTACTTAAAAATTATTTTTTAAAAAATTGTTTTCATCAAATTTATTTAATATGGAACAGATTTAAAATTTTAAATATTATAAATATATTATATATATATATATATTAATATTTTATTCTATTTGTAATTAATTAATTTTATTTGATTTACATAATTTTATGTTACTTTATATAGGAATAAAAATAATTATTTTTTATGTACATACTTCTAAAATTAATTTTATACTAAAATAATATAATTAGCACTAAAAATGATATTTATACTGAAATAATTAATTCTAGTCATATAAATATTATTTTTAGTCATTTCTTAATTCTTCTTATATTCAATTTCATAGCTGTTTTGGAGTTTTTATTTTATTTTCTTATTTTAATATGTGGTTAAAAACTATTGTTAGTGATTTCTTACAAAATTGCACTTCAAGTAGAAGCAGAGATCAATATACACGACTTGATTTCAACATGCATATAAAGAAAAAAAATTGCACTTCAAGTACAAGTAGAGATCAATAAAATGTTTCAACTTATTTATTCAAGTGACTTAGATAATGATTCCTTGACATGAAAATGATTGCATATAACTAATTTCTTTTATGTTTTTCCCTTTTATTGACCTCAAGTCATTATCTAATTATTTGCTTATTGGCTTCTCATGAATATTTTATTGTTCTTACTTACCGTTTTGTTCATTTTAAAGGAATACCATTAAAGTGTCTTAACAATTAATATTTTGCTGCCAATTGTTTCTCGTATCAATTTGGGTTTTGATTAAAACATCATCTACCAATTTTATTAAATACATAGACATCCTTTTAGTAATACTTCAGGTAAAGAAGAAAATTTGTATCCCTTTTATATTTCAAAAGGACTTCAATGTATTTAATAAAGTTGGTAGATAATGTTTTAATCAAAACCCAAATTGATACATGAAACAAATGGCAACAAAATATTAATTGTTAAGACATTTTATGATATTCCTTTAAAATTGAATGGTGAATAAGAACAATAAGATATCCATGAGAAGCCAATAAACAAATAATGAGATAATGACTTGAGATCAATAAAAGGAAAAAAATAAAAGAAATTAGTTATATGTAATCATTTTCATGTTAAGGAATCATTATCTAAATCAATAGATAAGTTGGAACATATATTGAACTCTTCTTTTACTTGAAGGGCAATTTTTTTTTCTTTATATACGTGTTGAAATCAAGTTGTGTATACGATTGGCCTTTCATATATTATATATTATAATAGCCTATTTAAAAATCTAGCTATTCAAACTTATTTTTGAACCAACAAAGTCATTTTCACTTAATGAATCCCAGCTAGTAAGCATTACATGTATGTATATGTTCATCAACCAATCAGCCAATAAACACATATGCACATATACCTACATTTGTATTTTGTAACATTTGGTTTTACATATTTGAATAAAAAGAAAGAGATCCATTTCCTCACTAAAATAACTTAGATACACAATTATTAATAACTTGAAACACACACATTAAATATCTTCATCAATGATTAATTCTCATAAAGGATGTAAGAAAAGTAAAATAAAATTAAGGAATAATGAAAATTTTAGTCCTTCAAATTTATTTCAGTCATCAATTTAGTCCCTAAAGTTTAATTTTTATCAATATAGTCTCTTAAGTTCACTTCGATTATTAATTTGGTCCTTATTGTTTAGAAAGGAGGTCACACTATTAAAATTTGATAACATGAATAATAGAATAATGATGGAAGCCATAATGAAGAGAAGTATTATTATTTAAATAGGAAAGAAAGACTCTAAAATTTTATAAAATATGAGAACAAAACATAGTAGTGTAAAAGATTATATTAATAAAAATTAAACTAATTTTAGGGTTAATTTGTTCCCATTTTGCTACATATATATGACAAGTCATCAACATACTTTACACATTATGTTATTTTAAGAGTCAATTTGTGTTATAAAACTTAAAGGACTCACATCATAATTAAAAAAAAAATAAGGGACCAAATCAATAAAAATTAAATTTGAGAGACCAAATCGATAATTGACATGTGGCACATAGAATCTATAGGGAGCATCATGTGTCGCCAATGGAGGCCTATAAGGCAGCAAGTGGCTTCATGTGCCACCTTGGAGAGTAGGCTTTTTTCTAGAATTTTTAACTTTTTTAGAATTTTCTTGTCCAGTGACATTCTCGGGGTTTATAAGGGTGCACAGGACTTATGATTGAGATGTAGTTTTCTATTAAAAAATCCCTAAATCCAATTTCTTCATTTTGATATGATATTTGCCCATGTTGAGGCAAATTTGGAAATTAATTTTTGAATCTTTTTAATGTATTTTGTAACTTTTAATAGTTTAAAAATTCTTAAAATTTTGTATTTTTCTTTTAAGAAAAATATGAAGCAAGAGGCTTTGAGCAGTACTGAAAACCTAAAAAATTATTCCATTGGTATTGAATATTTGGATAAGCTAGATTATACGCCTCTTAATGAGGATTCTGATTTGGAATCCTTCGAAGAGGAGGAGAAGGAGTATGGACCTTAAAGTAAGAATTCTAATATGGAAGAGGATCATAATGATGATCTCAATGATGTTCCAAAAGGGCCTAAAGAAATGTGCATGATGTTAGGACCAAGATGTGGATAAAAGGTACTAAAGATCTTCAAGATGAAGATGAAGGCAGTAGAACAACCTTTCACACCCTTTATGAAAAAACCTAGCTAAAATAGATGATAAAAGAATTAAGAAGCCAAATCACATTTCCCTAACCATAAGAAAATATTCGAGCTTCATAACTAAAGAAGAAGCCTTAGTTATGGGAAATATTTTCAAACAACTTATGAAAGAACTTGTGAAATGAGATAAGTCCTACTAGGAAGTACTCTATAAAAAAGGGCAATTAAGGATATGAGAGTGCAAACAATATATTTAGAAATAATTAAATCACTAGTACAAAATATTAAATTTACGGGGTA